TAAATCCCAAAACTAGACATGTACAGATGACGTACAATTAACTTAAAGAAATCACAAATGTTAACTCAAACAGTATCTTTTCTTTGTGGTGGGAAGAGAAAACAATACCTCTGGAGATATACTTTCACAGTTGCTAGCTTCCTTATCCAGGGGATTCAGCAAAAACTCATATGAAAAAGACTAAAAAGATGGGTGGGTATTTATATATATCTCTTTCAATTTGTTTATATACTTTTGACTTGGTAAGTAACTTAGAAGATAACACTCCTGAATTTTGCTCTATTAAATTCAAAAATTATATAAAATATTACAAAATCTCACCTAAATTTTTAGCGTATCCATGTAAAAAAATTATTTTAAATATAAAAATACATCTATAAACAACTTTGTACTCGGTGCAAATCCAAAATAGTAAAGCTTCCATGTGCATCACACAAAAGAAGAAAAAAAACTACTGCGTATGATGTGATGTGCAAGTTGTCGATATTAAAGTGGAGAGGATTCAGTCTATAGTTTCTTTACTAGTTTCCAGAGAAAATGATCAAAATGGTCCTTTATATATAGGGTTTGAATTATTTTGGTCCTTTATATATATCACTTTATCTAAATGGTCCTTAATGTATGTATAAAGAGTATCAATTTGGTCCTAGACCTAAAATCTAACTGAAAACATAAAGAAACTGTTAAACTTAACTGTTGGGTCCCACACTTGGTGGGCCCCTTCTTCCTCCCTCTTTCTTCCACCATTGCTTCTCCTTCACCTTCTTTCTTTTGCCATTTCTTCTACAATTTCTGCTCCCAAAATCCTCTCACACACACAAAAGTATCTTTAAATTTCAAAAGAATATTTGTAAGGTTTTTGTTTTCTATTTCTGTCCGTTAAAATTTTACCATTAAATTTTAAAAATAGAATGAAAAAAATGGCTTGAAAAAATTACTAATTTTGAAAAGGATAAAACGAAAAGAAAGCTATATACTCCCCATAGATCGCTTCAACAAGAGAATAAATGGAGTCTTTTATCTGATGATCTTGGTTTTCTTCTTCTTCTTCTTCTTCTTCTTCTTTATGTATGATAATGGAAGCTTGAAAATTTTATTTCGATGGAAATGAAATGGGTGTAGTGTGTATTATTTTTCTTATGGACTTCAAATGATGAAAGAAGGAAGTTGAGGAGAAAGGTCTGCAGTGGTGATGGTGAACAAAAGCAGATTGAGGAAGAACAGTCTTGATGGTGAACGAAAGAAGATGGGGGAAGAAGGGTCTGTCATCTGTCAATTCCGCGGGACCCTCTGTTAAATCTAACAATTTTTTTTATGTTTTCAGTTAGATTTTAGGTCTAGGACCAAATTGATACTCTTTATACATACATTAAGGACCATTTAGATAAACTGATATATATGAAGGATCAAAATAATTCAACCCCTATACATGAAGGATCATTTTGATCATTTTCTCCTAGTTTCCACTTCAAATTATATAATTACATAAAATGGCCGGTAATAAATTACAAACTGTATTGGTGATGCTTACAAATTGCATTTAAAGGAGAGTTTAAGACGAAAGAATTATCTTAGGTGTCAATATCAACCTATAAAATTGTCATCTGTCCAACTCGTTCATTAAACAGAGTTTAACTTGCTTATTTTAATAATACTTTGGAATTTTATTTGATATATTTTATATAGTCATAATATTAAAAAAAATATTAAGTACTCAAATAAAATATTGGTAAGAATTGATCGAATTGGGTTATGACCTGATTTTTAACTCATTTTAACCTAATCTGCTTCAAATCAAGAAATATTTAAACGAATTACTTATCCGCTTATTTTATTAACTCAATCTATTTTGATATTCTCATATTCAGCTCAGCTCGCTTTTTTAATCGCCCAAAATTATCCTAATAGTGTCAACTCTCAATATAGATGTTCCTAGGGAAATGTTTGTGTTTCCTTTTTCTAGCTTGTTATATTAGGACATTAAAATATTCAAAAGTACAATTAGACTTTTCAAACATTGAATTCCTTGTGTTATATTTTATGATATGTATAGAATTTGAGAGCTAAAAGACGTTTTTCTTTTGATTACAAATTTTATATATTCTTAAATATCTTAAGAAAAATGGCTCTAATGATTAAAATTACAAGAAGTTAGTTTCTTTAATGTTTTTGAATGAATAATAATTCAATAAAGTAATATGGTAATTAATCCTGTGAAAAATAGAAAGAAAAAAAATATGGAGCAAAAACGCAAGCAATTACGTATGTATTATGCGATGTGCAAGTGGCAGACATATATTTATTCCAATAAGACTTTATTGTATTTTCAGCCTCCTCGTATTAAGTTTGGTGCTCACGATCTAAAAAAAAATCTAGTGCCGTGTCAAATATATTTTTTACCAAAACTTTAGAGTTGATATATTATTATTATACTGTAAAAATGTTGAATATTTCTATAATTGAATCTTTCTGTTACTTACGTCACATGTGTATCAGAATGCTATGTTACGTGAGATTTGCGACTTTAATGGTCCCCAGGCCTTTTCATTAGTTTTATATGCTCTCCGTCTCAATTTAAGTAAAAGTATTTGATTGGAAATAAAATTTAAAAATAAAAGAAAGACTTGAACTTGTGGTGTAAAATAAGCTATACATATTTCCTATATCGTTATATTTTTCTTTCTAAAAATTGTTTATTTAAGCAAATCAAGAGGAAATTATTATTTTCTTTCAATATTACCCTTATCACTAACTATATAAAATTATAAACTAATAGTAATCAAACTTAGATTTGTTATTCCTGCAGATCTTAGTATGAACAAAAACAAGAACAAGGTTATGAAAGTTCCGTATATTTCAATTAATTCAACAGAATATAAGCAACATATACTAGGTAGCTCTATCCACCAATGCTTGAACAGAAAGAAAGAAATCAGCTAGTGTTTTGTCTCTATATAACCCATCAAAACACTTGATACTGTAAAAATTATTCAGAGTCGGCGTATACTGAACAATGAGCATAGACATGGCCAAACAGTACTGAATTCGAACAGTATCAGGAAGTACCGTTTATGGAACCTCAATCTCTACGGGCTAATTAGCTAAATGCAATTGACACATACAATATTCCCTGAAAGAGTTGGGAATACTCTCATGTGAAAAAGCTATCGACATTTTGGATCCATCAGAAAGGTTTACTCTGTAAACAACTAATCTATTCATGGTTGAGGTTTAGATTCTCACAAACCCAGTTTCTCATTTTGTTCAATCTTTCTTCCTTTTTGTACATGTACTTCTTCCCCAATCAAAAAGATCCATAGGCAACAATTAGAAAGACTGGAACTGCAGTGATACGTAATTGATCTGAATTGACCAGTGCAACATCAAAGGGATGCACAGCTAAAGGAAACGGGAAACAAATATCGCTTATGGACAGTTAGTTACATAAGATCCATAAACAATGTTTTCTCATTTTTCATTGATATAACATACAAAGTAAGATCAACACCAGACAGTCTAGCTGAGTTTTGCTCTGTCAAACTATGTCACCTCATAATAGTGTCGGAGTCTTTCTAAGCACTAAATCTTTTGAGAAGAAGAGATTGTAAAATATAGTTTCTCTTCGGGATCACCCTTGGGCATTGAAACAAACAGGGGTGGAGCTATCAAACACATCTCAACCAAAAGGAGGAAAAAAGGAAGCTGAAAATGCTAATAACAAAGTTAGCACAAAGATTTTAAGACATAACTGTTCAGATAGAATTAAATACCTCGTTTCCATAACATACCTCCTTAACAATCAAGAGATGCCTTTTGGGCTCATATTTTGTGTTTATTTGCATTACCATAAATAATCAAGGATAGTCTGTCATCTAAAAACCAATGCAATAACAAGATTGCTAATTGCCAAAAGAAAACACTGTGACATCCAAACTGACGATAAAAAAATATAAATGAATCAAATGCAAAACAGCAAACAAAAAGGAGAAAAGGAGTTAATTTCAGTGCTCGCAATGAACAACAGATGTTGTTTAAACAGAGATGGTGCACTGGATTAGGACATTGGAGTCATATATACCTCTTACTGCTATGACATCGTTCAAATGCCTTGAAGTTTTGTTTCAGTTATCTCAGGCAACACAAGCGCAAGAACAATCATATACTTGAAAAAGGAATACATGAGTCTCTCGACTCTCGTGAAGGTTGGCATATTTCGCTCTGTACTAATATGATCAACTGGATTAAACCTTGCTTGAGCTTGTGTCATTTTATGAAAAAGATACATCATTTTGCAAACACTTAGCTGACATGTTTTCAAGGTAATACATGTACGATAATTGAAACAAATATGGGTGAAACTGTAAACACACATCTTAACCAATAAAAAAAGGAAGCTCATAATGGTAGAGACAATCTAATAAGGGGGAAAAGAGTTAAAGACATAACTGTAGGGATAGAATAAAATGCCTCGTTCCATAGCATATCTTAATACTCTATCTATTTTGGTGTCTAAATGAGAAGAAATTTTATACCTTTTGGGCTCATGTTTTGTATTAATGAGCACTACCATAACTTATCAAGGGAGAATCTGTCACCTAATGACCAATGCCATAAAAAGATAGCAAATTGCCAAAAGAAAACACTGTGAAATCAAAGTGATGATACGGACACATAAATGAATTGAATACAAAATAGCAAACAAAAGGGGGAAAAAGTTAACTTCAATGCTCACAATAAATCACGATTGTTGTTTGAACAGGATGGTGCAAAGGATTAGGGCATTGGACTCATATTTTACATATTACGTTAGATTTTTGTTCAAATGCCTTATTTTTTTATTTCAGTTACATCAGTCAACACAAGCAATAACAATCATACTTGAAAAACGGATATATACGAGTCACTCATGGTGAAGGTTGGCATACTCCAGTCAGTACTAATGATCAACTGAAAAATAAACCTTTCTTGAGCTCGATTCATATTGTGATAAAGATACATCCTTGATCGAACACTTAGCTTGTTTAGAAATTATACCAATATAGAATAAGCAATAATAAACTTGCCTCAGCTGACTTACACCTCTACACGAATGTTATGTATAAACTTCTGCTCAATGTTAAATTCCATTCTAAACCATGTACAATTATTATACATGTACACACACATACACACAAATAGACTAACTTCAAAACTTTCTCAAATAATCTGTTTTATTGAAGGAAATAACCAGACAAGAAGAACACAAATCCCAAAAGCAATCCACCATATATAAGCAGTGCCTTTTGGCCAGAGGTAAGAGTATTACCACCTAACCCATACTGCTGATTCTGAGCAAACCCAGCAATCTCCACGCTCTTGCTATCAAAGAAACTCTTCGCAGCACCGCAAGTCGCACACCTCCAATCCTCCGGCAGCTTATCAAACGGCAACCCAGGAGGAATAGGATAAGAGGGGTCTCCAGTAGCTTCATTATACTTGTACCCACAAGACCTACACTCATAAATCCCAGTATTCAGCACCGCAAACTTCTCCTCAAGCCTCCTATTGTCAAATTTCTCCTCTTCCTGCTCCTGCTCGGATTCCGAAGTGGGTGTCTCGGTAATCGGTTGTTCTGAGATGGGTTTGTCTTCTTGGGAGACATCAATGGATTTGGGTTGTAGATTGAATTGGGGTTTTGGGTATCTGTAAAAAGATGAAACTGAGTGGGATTTGAGGTGAAATGGTGGGAATGTGAGATGGGTTTTGGGTTTTGGAGTGGATGGTTGTGTGAGTGAAGGTGATGAAGAGAGGTTGAATATGAAGGAAGCTCTTGTGGTTGCTGAAGCCATTCAAGAAGGATTCTTTTTCTTCTTCTTCTTCTTACTGTTGCTTTGGATGAAAATGGTCAGTGGTGTTTGAACTTTGAGTTCTTGGAGGGGTTTTGGTGTGTGGGGGACATGTGGATATAGAGAAACCAACCAAAAGGGATCCATCAAAAAGTATATGCCCTTTCAAATTTGGGGGAATTGGATAAGGTATAAATAAACTCATTCTAAAGCTTATTTTTCTTTTGTGATTTTTTCCTTTTTGATAAAAAGAAATATATTAGGAGAATTAAAACTCTCTACCAAGAATTTTTTTTATACTCTCGATTCGGATGGTTAGCTTTGATTAAGGATGGAGCAGTCTCATCCATTGCCCTACATTTTTTAAAGGTGATACATAGAGCTGTCAATATGGGCTGGCCCACCCCATCCGGGCCAACCCATATAAGCTTTGAAATTTGACGGGCTAACCCATTTTTTGTGTGGACCAGAAAATGGCCGACTCAGCTCACAGGTACGTGGGCTACAGGCTTTTTCGAGTCAGCTCTCTTTTCTTAAAAGTATATTTTTTTATAATTTTTTAAATTAAATTATAATTTAAAAATATTATTATAAATATCGACAAGACATGGTGTTAGTGTTATTATTTGTAAATCAAATACACAAATAAAATTATCTTTATAATATTTATTAAGTTTGATTTCAAGTAAAAGCATAAATAGCTAAATAGAAATATTAACCTAATTGTTTTCCAATTATCGTAATAAAACACAAAAACTATGACAATATTCCATAGACTATGGCCTATGTAGTGATTCCCTAAAAATTTAAGGGGATTTTTATTTTATATACTACATATTTTATAAACATAATTTGATTTAAATTGTAATATTTTAAACTTTAAAAAAAAATTGAGTTTAGGCTCTTGTTATTTTTAATACTCCATTTAAATTTATTTTTAATTAATTTTTATTTGACCCACGGGCCAGGCCTATCCATATTTCTCAAGCCCCACAAATCAACAAGCTAATTCAGGCCGAGCTAAAAAACCATTTTTCTTAAATGGGCTCGAGAATGCGTAGCACATCCCTATCAAATTACGGGTTAAGTCAGACCGGACCAACGGGCCAACCCATATTGACGGCTCTTGTGATACATGTACTTTTGAGCCCTTTTTATTATAATTCTTTTTTTATTAATTTAATAAATTATTAATAGTTCAATTATTGATATATGATGTTAAATTTGTATTGTTATTTCATATTTGTGAATGACATAATTATAAATGTAGTTTTATATTACATACTTTCTATATAAAGAGATCAAAAGCATAGCTTTCAGTGAGTTAAAAATTAAATATATTTAGTCAAATATTATAAGAATTAAAATTATAATTAATCATTAATTGGCAAACTAAAAGTTAAATTATTTCAAAGTATATGTAGTATTTGGCGGTTTGACTTGAAATGATAATAATGTGAAGATTTTTCAATGATACAAGTGAGGGTCGTAAAAACACCGAAGGTTATTTTTGTAATTTCGGTTGAATCGAGTTGTCTACTTAATGAGAGTTTGCGTGTTATTGCCGTCAAAATATGAGTTGTTCCATCCGTTACATTCTAGGTTTCTTCGTTTTTCCTCTCTCGTGTTCTCCGCTGCCCCTCTTTCTTTCTATCGTTCTTAAGGGCTTGATCTTTAGATTTCTCTCTAACATTTGGTATAATTCTTTGTTGATTCATCTTTATTTACTTTTCACCATCAATCTCATCGCATCTAGCTTGAAGTTTCATTATAAATCTAGCTTGTGGTTTCATTATAAATCTAGCTTGCGGTTTCATTATAATTTTGTTCTCAGATCTGTTACTTATGTAGTTTTGATGTGTTTTTTCTCTTCTCTTCTTTTCTTGAACTCTTTACAGTTATAAGTGTTCAATGATATTCTTTGATGATATAAGTGTGGTTCGTAAGGAAAATTAAGGTTATATCTATAATTTCAACTGGATCTAGCTATCTTATGCTACATTTGGAGAGTTTCAGTGTCATCGTCATCAAAATATTAGTTGTCCTTAGTTGTTATAGTCGATGTTTATTTGCTTCTCTTCTCTCGTGTTCTTCTCTCTATCTTTTTTTAGGGTTTGATTTTTAGATTTCTCTCTAACATTTAGTTTAGTTTTTTTTGCAGATTCATCTTTATTTCTTTGTGATCTTTAATTTCATATTTTTTAGACTAAGCTTTCACAATAATTTTATTTTTGCATTTGTTAGTTATGTAGTTTGGTGAGTTTTCCTAAACTCTTTTTTTCTTGCAGTATTTATCGTTATAAGTGTTCAATTGTGTTCTTTAACGATATAAGTGTGGATCGTAAAGACGATGAAGGTTATATTAGTAATTTCAACTGACTTAAGTTATCTTATATTACTTTCATAGAATTTAGGCATCATTATCATCAAAATATCAATTGTCCTCACCTGTTACATTTTATGTTTCTTTGTTTCTCATTTCTTGTGCTCTCTTTCTCTTTATTGTTCTTTTGGAATTGATCTGTAAATTTCTCTCTTATATTTGACTTAATTCTTTGCAGATTTATCTTTATTTCTTTGTCATTGTCAATTTATCCCTTCTAACTTAATGTTTCATAATAATTTTGCTTTCGCGTCTGTTACCTGTTTATTCTTGATGAGTTTCTCTTCTTTTTTTATTTTCTAAAAACGACGAGAGTTATATATGTAATTTCAATTTAGTCTAACTGTCATATGTAACTTCTGGAGAGTTTACATATCATCGTCATTAAAATATTAATTAGTTCTCCCCATCCGTTATATTATATGTTTCTTTGGTTCTCTTCTCTCGTGTTCTCCTACTCTTTTTCTTTATCGTTATTAGGATTTGATCTGTAGATTTCTCTCTAACATTTGGTTTAATTTTTTGCAGATTCATCTTTATTTCTTTGTCGTCATCAATTTCATCGCTTCTAGCTTGAGATTTCACAATAATTTTATTTTCACATATGCTATTTGCATATTTTTGGTGAGTTTTCCTTTTCTCTTACACTATCTTATAATTATGAGTGTTCAATGAATGTTATATAATTTTCCTGTTTACTTGATTTTTTCTTTATCATATACATGCATCTTAATATTTATTAAAAATGATGAATTTGCAATTGAATTTTTTTTCTTCTTTCCAAAATTATCTTTTGTAATATAAAAAATATATAAATAACATGAGAGAAAATGAGATACAAGATATCTCTTTTGTGATAAATATCAAGGGTGATGTTTTTATTGGATACGTCAGCAATTTTTATAATAAAATCAATTTAAAGAAATTTTTGAACCCCTTCTCCTTAATTTTATTCTCTATAATCTCTCTAAAAATTGTGTTATATTGCTTTTTGATAAACAAGTTTGTTATGATTTTTTTTTTATGATATGCTATAAGAATTTTTGAATAATTAATTGATAGTTAATTGATGATTTGAATTTGAGAGCACTCTATTATAGGTAGAAAGCTACCTGACTTGGGTCATGGAAGGACTGACAAATTGCACTGCTAGTTTTCGAATACGGACTGGAATTAGCTGTTGTTTGTGACTTGTGAAAAAAATTGTATTTAATTTTACATTAGTGGATATTTTGATAAGTAAAAATATTAGATATTAGCAAATAAATACATTTAAAAAGAATAAGAGAAAGAACTCAAGTAAGCTTTAATAATATATCTCTCTCATAAAAAAAAATCAATTTTACATCCTTACTACAGAAGTAGTATTATTGAAGTCGATGATCCATATTACAATATTAACGAATAAAGTTAGCATATATGTTAAAAGAAATCTACCACAAATTGTTAGAAATGTGAGTATTGATTCAACTTAATATGACCTTTTTTTTTTTACTATTTTAGTCTATATTCTCGATGTACATTTGTTGACCATTAAATCGTATTATATTATAAGCTTTAGACAAATATTATATTTTTTTTTGTTTTTCACCCAGTGTGTTCGATATCTACATTGGAGTTCGAGATGCAAAGTCCCACATTAATGGATAAGAATGCTTTCTAACAAAGGTAACTTCATATCTGAGGAATAAACGCTCCGCCATAACCCTCGTAGTAAGTGCTATACTTTTCAATTTGTTCTCCTCCAAAACCTACTTTAAAGGTAGCATGCACCCTGCTCTATTAATTTGAATAATTGAGTTTTTTTAACCATGTTGGACATAGGCTTCTAAATTTGTGTTCGACACGTGCATACACCTAACACCATCTAATCTTTCAATATACGCAGTTCAGTTTAACATTTACAATTATCCTATTTATCATTTTACCATGTTATTATTGTACAATTTTACTTCTTATTTTATATAAAATTTTACTTGTTATTAGTTTATAAGGTTTTTTTTTTTAAAAAAAGAACGAACCGACCATCTATCACAAAATAACATTATAAAAATAGTAATAAGATTTTCGTATATCCCACTTAGTTACTCATGTTTGAGATATGCCTTATAATATTATTTTTGTTTCTTTTAAGATCACAATATCGTCCAATTATTTTTATTTTTCTCAAAATATATTCCTCTCTTTTAATGGGATGCCATGTCACATTATTTTACTTTAGTTTAGCAAAAAGTTTTTTAACAATATAATAAAAGTTTGTTTAATGTCTCTATAAGCATCTTCTTTTAGGTATTCAATTGAAACATTTACAAAGGCTCGAATATGCTATCAAATTTTGAGGAAAAAACTTATTTATATCATCCGTTAAAAATTTGGCTCATAGATGTCATTTTGTTTGAGAAAAAGGCTCATCTATGCCATTATTTGTTAGTTGAAATGATATAGATAGACCAAATTTTTAACGGATAGAATAGCAAAATCATCAATTACAAGGCTATGTTTGACTAAGTTTAAGAAAATTAAATATTTTATTAAACAAGAAGGTCTATTTGAGATAGGATAGAAGTTAATATGTGATGAAATCATAGACTTTGTTCCTAGTAAATATTGACTAATAAATATTAGTTAATTTTAATTTAAAATTTGATTACTTGGAAAAGGTTTAAATTATGTCATCGAACTTTGAGAAAAGATTTATTTATGCCCTTTGTTAAAAGTTTGGCTCATCTACGTCATTTTCGTTTGAAAAAAAGGTTCATTCGTGTCATTATTTGTTAACTGAAATGACATAAATGAGTCAAACTTTTAAGTGATGGAATGACAAAATCATCAATTATGTGACTCTTGCCATGATTCGTCATTGGAGTGGTAGAATCTCCAACGGAGACACCGGCAACTAATATGGTTACCTCACCGGCAATGGAGGGAGAAGAGTTAAGTCTTCATCACCTTTCACATCCATGTCAACCTCATAATCGAGGTTGTCATCGTTGTAGGATGGAGAAGAAGTAGAATCCTCATCACCATCCACAACGATGACAATCTCGATTATGATGTAGACATGGATGTGGAGGGTGATGACGACTCTAACTCTTCTCCCTCCATTGTAGGTGAGGTGACCATAGCGGTTGCCGGTGTCTCCACCAAAGATTCTGCCGCTCCAATGATGAATCATGGCAAGGGTCCTAGAATAGATGATTTCATCCGTTAAAAGTTATAGATAAGCCAAACTTTTAACAAAAAAGCATAAATAAGTCTTTTCTCAAAACTCAATTACATATTTAAATCTTTTCTTTTCCAAGTAATTAAATTTTAAATTAAAATTAACTAATATTTATTAGTCAATATTTATTAGGAGCAGTCTACGATTTCATCACATATTAATTAACTTCTATTTATCTCAATTAATCCTTTTGTTTATAAAATATTTAATTTTCTTAAACTTAGTCAACATAGCCTTTTAATTATGAGTGAAAAGTGAAGTAGGTGAGAGGAGACGATGCTCACCGGGTACCGGCTTACCAGGGAACCCAGTAAATGCTACCGGCTACAACGCGCCGATCTAGTGAATCATTCAACCAAAGTACCAAATTAAGTCTTGCACGAAACTAACTTAAAATTATTAACCAATAGTTTGTGACCGTCTGTCTTTACTCTTGGCCTAACCTCTTGCGCCGCACTCTGTTTACTACTTTTACCTTAGCCCACTGAACCCTAGAGCCCACACCCCCTAAAATCTCCTCCTCTTTCATCAGAAAAAAAAAGAAAAAAACATTGTTCTTTCCACCATGGATTCTGTACCAAATCGTCATCACCAGGCATCCTACGACAACCTCGATTATGAGGTTGATATGGAGCTGGAAGGTGATGAGGATTCTACCTCTTCCCCCTCCATCGCCGGTGAGGTGACCATAGCGGTCGCCGGCGTGTCCACAGGAGATTCCGGAGCTGGAATGATGAATCCGGGAAAACGCCCTAGGATTGACGACTTCGCCATTCCGGTCATTCTTCCCGGAGCGGTAAAGAAGCCATCTGCTGCTTTTGATGAGTCTCGCAAGCTTTTTCAGAGGCTTTGGACGGATGAGGATGAAATTGAGTTGTTGCGGGGATTTCTGGAGTACACCACCCAGCGTGGCCTGAACACTTCTTCCCCGCAGCACCATTACGATACCACCGCATTTTACGAGCAGATCAAGTCGAAATTCCAGCTGGATTTCAACAAAAACCAGCTTGTGGAGAAACTCCGCCGACTGAAGAAAAAGTACAGGACTGTGGTGAGCAAGATGGGATCTGGCAAGGACTTTGTTTTCAAAAGTGCTCATGATCAGGTAACTTTCGACATCTCTCACAGGATCTGGAGTACTGGAGGCTCTTATGCCCGCAGCAGCCCTGGAGGCTCTGTTGGTTTCTCCGCCCCACCGCTAGAAGATGGTGGTGTTGGATTGGGATTGGAGGATGATGAGGATGTTAACCCTAACCCTAATCCTGATTCAATTGTCCTTTATCATAGCCCTAAGTTTAATCTTAACTCTAACCCTAATGGAATTGCCATCAAAACTCCAAGATCACAGAAAAGGTCCCCAGTACCTTTAGAAGCTGTTAAAGTTGAGCATCAGCCTTATCAGCCACCTGGGGTCCGCATTAATGTGCAAATGCCGGCCACAAACTCCAACCCGGTGGCAGCTGCCCCTGCTGCACCACCAGTGTCTGGAGTTGCTGCACCACAGGTGTCTGGAGTTGCTGCACCACCGGTGGCTGGAGTTGCTGCATCAGCTCCCACCACGGTGGCTGCTTCTGTGCCGAACCTGATTGAGGAAACAGTGAGGAACTGTGTATCACCAATTTTCAAGGAGCTGGTGAACAATGTGGCCAATTTGAATGGGTCTGCTAGAGGGTTTGGGTTTGGCTTTGGAGGAATGGGGATGAGTCCAATCCCACTGGGGCTGGGGCAGGGGCTGGGACTGGGACTGGGGTTTGGGGGAGGTGCAATGAGCATGGAAATGATGGGGGATGAGAAATGGAGGAAGCAGCAAATGCTGGAGCTGGAGGTTTATTCGAAGAGGTTGGAATTGGTTCAGGATCAGGTGAAAGCACAATTGGAGGAGCTGAGATCAATGGGAAGTAACAATTGAAAATGTTGCTTTTCTAATGTATACAACTTATTGAAATAATTCTAGTTGATAATTTTACCCCAGGTTGTTAATGACAGTGGATGGTTTAGGTGGATGGTTTAGCTTTTGGTTGCTAAATAATGACTTCTAATTAGTTTTCAGTCAGCTGCTTGTTTGCAGACTTTGATGCAATATAGATGTTTCGTCTATTTTGTAAATAGAAATGGAAATGATAGAAAGACCAAAATGTTGGGTTAGTGTCATTCTTGATGTCTCTGATTTAAATGCTTGCTGCTCTGCATTTTCAACTGTCTGCCTTTTCCCAGGTTCATTTTCAAGAAAAAGTTGAGTTACTCTTTTTCTTTTTAACGATTGCTAAAAGTGCAGCAAACTTTATGTCTCTGCTGTAGCTTGTGGCTGATTCAACTCTGTGTTTGCAGATTCAGCAGAATCTATTGCTTCATAGTCTAACATTGTAAATTTTGGATCCGCTACTGTGTGTAGCCAACGCTTCAGTTTTCTTGAGAAACGTTAGGTACTGCATAATGAATTGATGTGGTATAGTCATATCATAATATATGAACGGTAAGAACTAGCATTCTTATTGGGACTATAACTCATAGGGGGAGAAAATAGATTTATGGATGGAATCAAATATGTAGTATTTACAGATAAAAGTATTCGGTTATTGGGGAAAAAACCAACATACTTCTAATGTCGAATCAGGATCAACTAGGATAGAAATAAAGTGTTGGGTCGAACTCTTCTTTGGTGTCAAGGCATTGACTTCCACAAGCTGATTTTTGTTGAAATCCAGCTGGAATTTGGACTTGATCTGCTTGTAAAATGCGGTCGTATCGTAATGGTGCTGCTGGGAAGAAGTGTTCAGGCCACGCTGGATGGTGTACTCCAGAAATCCTCGCAACAACTCAATTTCATCCTCATCAGTCCAAAGCCTCTGAAACAGCTTGCGAGACTCATCAAAAGCAGCAGATGGCTTCTTTACCGTTCCGGGTAGAATGACCGGAATGGCGAAGTCGTCAATTAGTTAAATGCTAATACAAGATAAACGATATGGATAAAAAAGGAAAAATTTGCACCAGGATTTCACTGATTAACGTAGTTTAATGAAGTGACTATATTCTAGTTAATCATTAAGTATTAATTAACACAAGTCTTGATTTGATGTTAAAGAAGCCATCTCGGATGTTCTACGTTATTGTTTTTGTATATAAAAAAGGCAGTGCAATGATACTTGTATGGTTTGCAGGAACAATATTTGTCTAAAACTTCTGTTTATTGATAATCAAAGAAGAATCATGCGTATATTTAACTGATATCCCCATGTTAAGTTCAACAGATAGATACAATTTCGGAAAATGTGTCTTAGAAATATTGTGTATTATTCAGAAAAAAAGCATTAATTAGTTTATTAACATCAGGATCAGTAATGAGATCAGATAGCAGTAGTTTTTCTTCTTCTCTCAATAAAGGGAGAACTTCGCTTTGGTCTTCTCAAATACTTGCTCGGCTATTAGGGCTCCTTTACCATCAGCCTTCTGGATCTCTAACTGAGCTTTCTGATAAAATCCAGTACCTCTGAGAGCGTCTGCAATGAAATCATCGAACCCAATGGCAATTGCAGCTTCAGCTTTGGCTCCATATACCAACCTCTGTGCAAACAACATAAGGTAGAAGTGTCAGCGTTGTTGAAACGACAAGGAGACACTTCAGTTTAAAAGAATAACATAATGGTAAAAAGAGTCTTATGGCATGAATGTATACCTTGATGCGTGATAGATGGATAGCACCAAAGCACATCGGACAGGGCTCACAAGAAGCATAGATCTCACAATCTGCAAGCTCAATTCGATTGAGCTTCTTACATGCCTGAAGATATGTTTAAATGGATGAGCAAGAGAGCAGGGGGAGTGAGATAAATACTTTTAACACAACTTGCAGTTCAATAAAATAGACAGAGAGAATTATGTATATATCACATGACAAGCTATACTTAACCATCCCTTCTTTGTCTACTAATGCATTTTCATAATTGACCCTCACAACTCAGAGCTACTTCATTAGTTCATCAGTATCTTATAATTAGTCACCTAACTATATTCTAACCTCAATAACTTCCCATTTGTTGATTAGAGAAATCTGATGCATCATATGATTTTTCAATCTATGCATCTCTAAAGGTATAAGATGAGAACTTCTTGACATCATTCCACTGCTCGCTAAGAGGAGATGTCACTTGATTTATCATACATTTGCTACTTAGGCGGTCGGTATTTAATTTTAAACAGAAAACTTACCTAATGGAGAGAGCATCATACAAGTATAGCAAACTTAAGACAACAAAACAAAGCTCATGAGAAGTAGCAAATCCCAGCATAAAACACATTCCTCCCCGCTTCATTGTTCACACTCCAAATAAACACCAGCAGGGAAGTTCATAAGTCAATTAGACAGGCAAACTGACAAAAAAATTCACATCATTGGGTCCCAGAAGTACATTGAATGGTATCAAATATGCTTGAAGAAAGAGAACCAGTGATAGGGAGGATATCTCAACCCAAAGTCATTTCACGGTTCCTTTATATGTGTTCATACCCAACACTCGTACTAAAGGCCACCATTGGAGAAGTTTGGGCTCTCTATAGTAACCGTATCACTGGACTTGTTTTTCATTTTCTTCTCCAACTAATTTTTCCCACAATCTGCTATATAAACTGATGTGTCCAACCAAAGAAACATAGGGGAAAAATAATGAGAATCCGTGAACTTTAATAGTTCTTTAGTCAAGGTGTGCGCAAGCTGCCCTGCACACCACCATTATCTAAGCAAACAAACAAAAACTTCAGCTGTTGTAATGCCACAACATATTGTCATAGAAGCTGGTGGGTGGGTGGGGAAATTTCCACCCCCATCCACCCACCCCACCACCCCACATCTTACTATGCTTGATATGCTACTAAAGGATGGGAAGTAGTAAGATCGGGAATCCTCACCATGAGAATCCCCTCCACCACCTCCAACCAAAAGACACAAGATATCTGAATAAAGGAGAAGGTTTAGGTAGGTTGAAAAACAAGCATAAAGATGGTCAATTTCTGAAGAATCCTCAAGGCAATGAATTCATTGGTAGTCCCGGCTAGAGAGGAATGATTTTAGAGGATTCATATAGTAGCAGTTGAAGGGATGTTTGGGAAGGCTATGGTAGACCTACCGAGCAATACTAATGGCTAACAGCAGTTATTGGTGAGAAAGTTGTTCTTTCCATTGCAATTCTGTCGTCCAGTAAATTCTGGCACCAAAATAGCACACAAGTTCCTTGTAACTTTTATCACCTTCAATCAATGGGTTAAGAAGTGGTTTCTCTGAACAAACATCCAGTTTGAGGAGGGGGAAAAGAGCCACAGAAACTTGAGAAGATCGAATTCTGAACATGCATTACAGAAATGACATGTGGGACACAATATAATCCCTCTATCACAACTTACCATCCTACATTCTGATTTAGTTTATCCAAGTATTGTGTCTGCATTCTTAAAAAGAATTGTGAAAGCTTTCTCCATACGTCAACTTCTCCTCCAAAATAAAAAAGAAGAGAAAAACTAAAACTTCTCCTCCAGTATCTAACAATAGAAGAGTACCATAAGACCCAAGCTTCTCACGAGATTAAGACTTTTTTCTTCACCATTAGTCTCCACTTCTATTTAAATACAACAAAACTGTGTCCAAATTAATTTTTAGATCTTTTATTATATACAAGGGAAGGAGATTACAAGGTGGGGAATTGAACCCCCAACCAATGAGGTGAACTTTAACCAACCAACTGGTCTACTAAAAATCCCCATCCAATCAATTTGGTTAACAAAATTTGGGACAGAGATATAATAGTTTGTTGCAGTGCAAGGATAGTAAGCTATAGAAGCATAACCATCCCAAGCTACTTTGTGAATTCCTAAATGGAAGAAGAATTGACAGCTAAACACATGTCTGTTAAATATTTTCTTCACTTTAGGTAGATAAACCTTGGATATAATGTCACATTGTAGCAATATAGATTCAGGAATAAAAATTCTTCAACGAGAGAAGATATTGACAGCTAAAACATGTCAGTTAAATAGATTCTTTAGTGTAGGGAGAAAAACCTTGGATAATGGATACAATGTCATGTTGTAGCAATATAAAATGAGGATAAAAAAAAGTTGGGCATATGAAGAGCATAACAGTGAACCCAATGATGTGTCCTAGAGGTCAATAAAGTGGGTTGAAAACCATGAGGTCGGTTCAAATTCTAGGGGAGGCAAAATCACAAAGATGGTTTCTTCCCATTTCTCCAAGCCTTGGTGGAGAAAGTGACCAGATAATTGTGTTGGTGGGAGGTAACAGGTACCCCTATGAAAGTAATTGAGCTGCGCACAAGATAGCCAAATACCACAGTCTATATTGCTTGGTTCTTCAATAATGTCAGCAGGCGTGTGTCAGATCCTTCAAAAGTAGTGTATTTATAGAGGATCCGACACAAATGCGACAAGATTTCTAAAGAGTCCGAACAACATAGACCACAGTTGTCAAAAAACAAAGTGCATAACAATATTTGTTGTGCCAGTCTTATAGAATGGCTCGATATGACAGAGGGTCATAATATTAGCACGAGCAGCCAATTGATTATACATGCCCAAGGATTAGGAGGCCTCCCAGGTAATGGGTAAACATGCTATAAATCTAGACTACTTCTAAGCTACTTCGACTAAGACTCGGAACAATAGTAAACAGAGTCATCAGACAATTGGACATGAAGAATGGATTGGAAAAACAACTCAAAAAGAAAAATGACAGTAGTCAACACCAACAACATGCTGCCTCCAGCATATTATTTCAAGCAGATCATCCTTTGAATCCACACGAATTAGCAAGAACCTCATTGTGCAGAACAAATCACAGAGTAGGAACACTAACCTCTCTTACTGCTGTGACCTCTGCATGAGCTGTAGGGTCAGTATGCTTCAAAACCATGTTATGGCAGCTAACAACTACTTCATTATTGCAAACAACAACTGCACCAAATGGGCCTCCATCTCCACATTCTACACCTTTGTAAGCTTCTTCGACCGCTTGTGTCAAGAATTTGTGGTCTCTGTCTCGTACAGCTGGTGGATATCCCAGAGGACAAAGTGAAGTTTAACATTTATTCTTTTTCTTTTTTCTTCTTAAAAACAAATTTAACATTTACTCAAATATGCATTGCCGATAAAAAGATTATATAAAACAGAAATCAAATAAAGTAAG